AGAACTTTGGGACAAGGTCAATTTTATGAGATAAGATAGTCTCTTAAATAATAAGAAAATAGCATTTTCTCGTTTCATGGCACTAATTCAGCATCTGAATTAAAGAACCAGCGTTCCCTTAAAAAAATGCATAATTGATCCTCTACTTCCTGAAGCTTCACAGCCATTGGTACATTTTCACACATTCATCTTTTGGCTTAAAATCTATGAAAATGGCGAATGACAAATTCTGAATCAAAGGAAGACTAACTCTTTGAGAACAGCTGAAGTCACTTTTCCCCACTACCATTATCTCTTCTTTTTTTTGCAAATAGCTTAAAAGACGCAACTACGTAGACAGCTGTTTTTTTGTAAATTTTCAGTAGAAAAGGAACTGCTCTTATATTTGGTCACATACTGCATATGCACAAGTATACATGGATAAAATGACGTGGAGAGCTATGTCTAGGAAAAGTGCATATTTTAATCTGGAGGAGACCTTGTGTATCTCCAGGCATAACACATAGTGTTGTACCACATATTGTTCTAGGGCCAGTTCAATGTCCTTCCAGTGATCTGGTAAAATTTCTGATTGAAAGGGTGAAAGAATTTGCGCAATTTGGTAATGACAGAGGGGTCCACCTCTGGATGAATGCGCCCCTTGCTGCCCGCCAGGCACTTGTTAAAGATAATGTTAAATCGCAAGCAGTAAAACCCTCTGGTAGCATTGAAGTATAAATTGTATTGGCTTATCCTTGGAGGGAGATTTAGGAACTTCTCCACGAGCTGAAGTTCTGGCAGAGGCTCCATGATGAGGCGATCCCCATCCACGATGTGAAACTGTTCAATTGGAAAGTATTTCAGCCACCTTTCCAGATGTTTGGTGTAGATGCTGGTTCTTACCGCTTTGTATTTTGTGTTCACTTCGCAAGTATTCGGATCTATGGCCAGCTTCTCAAACTTGTAATAAGTCTTGTTCTTCCTCTCCTTCCCCTCTAGCACCTGAGTGTAATCAGAAATAGCTCTGGTGGTGGGCTCCCTGACAATGATCAACAACTTGATGGATGAGTTCATTTTGTAAATCCTTTCCGGAACCTCCTCTGTGATGAAATATGCTGGGCTTTTTTCAATTGTGATTTGCTGAGGGTAGGAAAAAGGCATCTTTTTCCTATACCACTCAATGCCCTTGGCGTAATTCTCATCATTATCAAAAAAGTGGATCTCTTGAGAGGCTTTGACCACTGCCGGATGGAGGTTCAGCATTTCAAGCAGGGCCCTTGTGCCTCCTTTCCTCACCCCAATGATAATGGCCTTGGGGAGCTGCTGCACCAGGTCATGAAGGCGAACCTGCTCCTTGGAAGCGTTGTTCTTCCGGAACTCATGTAGCAGGCCACGCTTAAATTGCAGAGCTCGGAGAGGGAATTCTGCCGGACCTCGGGCTCCACCCAGTCGGCCTTCAATAGGGCAAATGGGCTGTAGCCTGCGAGCAACAGAGAGACACTTAAAGGGGTTGCAGTGAACTCATTTTCTAGTTCCTCAGTCAGACTGAGCCTTTAAATGCATAAATAAAACTGCTGGTTCCCAGCCTGCTGCAATCTATAATGAACATATGTTTGGGAATTTTATTTTAAGCAACCTTGTATTAAATGGAGCACACATAATTGATGAGTTTTTTTAATTAGTGCTCCTTAAAATTTTTATTCACCAAGCACTTAATTGACTACAGAATGCACTTATGTTCACAGTACAGGATAGACAAGTGACACCAGCCACACTAACAGCTTTTTAACAGCTCACCAGTTAAAATCCTGTAGAAAACACGAAAGACTGAAGACTCTAATCTTCAGTGTGGGGGTTGAAGGGCAGCTAGGAGGCCACGCGTTTCGGGTTTCATGTGCTATCATTTTCTTACAGCTCAGCGACACTCAGGTGGCTCTTAAAAATCTTTAGGACACAATCCAAAAAGAGGTCCCAGTCTCTGCCTTTGGCTATGTGCATCATTCTAAACTTGGCACTTGCTGAGATTTCTGTTCTATGAGAGTCTCTGCCCTTGCCCTTGGGGATAGCCAGAAGAGCACTGTGTTTCTTCTGCATCTTTCTCTTTCTATCTAAAGCGATCGGGTTATGTTTTGACTTTGCTGAAAGTAGGAACAAACCCAACTGCCATCAGCAAGTGTTATATATCACCTGCCACGCCTCGGACCAGAAATCAACAAGACCTTGACAGGCTGGAAGCCTCAGGTCTTCACTGTCAAGCCCCTTTAAATCAGGGACTCCTAAAGGAGGGAATGCAATGTCTACAGCCAGAAAGGAGAATTTTCACTTTATTATTATCTGGTGTGATGAATAACCACGTCTGCTTTCCTCAAGGAGAAAGGTATGGTTAACAGTTACAACGATATTAGACTGGAGCGGCTTGTTTAATTTGGCCTCGTAATGGTTAGCACACTGAGTTTCCTTCTAGGCATGGTCTTAAACTGAACTGAAATTTCTTATACTTACCCTAAGTTAATCTGGGGAGCTATTTTAGCCTTCTTGGTAAAAGGAGACAGTATCAGTCAAATGGCTGTTAATTCCTCCAATTGAAAGCTTCTAGTTATTCTAATAATTTGGATATGAGTTATCCTAATAATTTGGCAATGAGGCCGATGTTTGTTTGTTTCAAGAGACCCTATTGTGTCTTTCATGTCCTCCAGACCATGCCCAGACTGCTCTTGGTTTGCGCTCTGTTTAAACAGCTATCTGTCATAATGCTTGAGGAGAAATATAAACATAAAATATGTTTCTGTGTTTGTGTTTTATGCTTTTTTTTTTAAAACGAAGTTTTGTTCTCTTGCCTTGGCTAGAGTACAGCGGTGTCATCATAACTCACTGCAATCTGAGACTCCTGGGCTCAAGTAATCTTCCTGCCTCAGCCTTCAGAGTAGTTGTGACTAGGAGGGGTATGTGCCACCACGACTGGCTAATTTTTGTGGCTGGTCTCAAACTCCTGCCCTCAAGCAATCCCTTTCCCTCAGCCTGCCAGAGTGCTAAGATTACAGCCATTGTGCCTGCCTTGTTTTTTATGGTTTTGAAAACAATTCATGTGCATTGTGGAAAGTGTGAAAATACAGAAATTATTTTTTTGATGGAGTTTACCACAGTTAATGTTTTAGAGAAATATGTATTTTGTTTTTATACCTTGTTAATGGGGTTAATTACTAGAGCTCTAAAAGAGAGACATACAATTATCAACAGACACAGAGTCAAAGATGTTTTTCATTGTGACATTGTTTGGGATATCGAAAACTCAACCTTCAGCTCCTCTTTAGCGTTGAGAATTAAACCCTAAAGCATCCATTGATGGATTTCTGTCTTAAGCACCTAGAACAATTTTAGATTTTCTTAAAAGAATTGAGGAAATAGCCGCTCATTTCATAGGACTTAATTCTCTCAGAGAACACTGGTTGAAAGAGAATGACACAAATGGTCTCTTCCCTGTTGGAATGGAATTTCTCTACCTCTAGAATGGGCCATTTTCCTTCTTTATTTCCTTCCTCTTTCAACCTTCTACCCTGGGAGATCACGCCCTGGAGAACAACTCCCTATCTTTTTTTTTTTTTTTTTGAGACAGAGCCTCAAGCTTTCCCCCTGGGTAGAGTGCCATGGCATCACAGCTCACAGCAACCTCTAACTCCTGGGCTCAAGCGAGTCTCCTGCCTCAGCCTCCCAAGTAGCTGGGACCACAGGCACCCGCCACAATGCCCGGCTATTTTTTGGTTGCAGCCATCATTGTTGTTTGGCAGGCCCGGGCTGGATTTGAACCTGCCACCTTAGGTGTATGTGGCTGGCGCCTTAGCTGTTTGAGCCACAGGCGCTGAGCCACAACTCCCTATCTTGATGTGAAGACAGGAGAAAATGTCACACTCCTTCCCACTTTCTGAAGAGCAGGTTCTGAGCCTGAGTCCCTAACCAAAAAGCATACAATTTTAGGATTAGAAGGGGCAGTACAGTGACCTCTGCCTCCCCAGAGATCAGGATCTTCAGTTACTGGAGGGTTGGCCTCAGTAAGCCTGTGTCAATTTCAGACCTAATTTTTTCAAATTGGCAAAAAGTGAGAGGTTTTGAGAAAGACCACCAAGCAATCCAATTCCTTATCAAAGCTGTCCCCTTAGAGATTAGAGCCTGGGTTAAAAATGAAAGGAATCATCAACTAAATAATGAATGTGTTAATGATCATTCGATTGATTTCCTCAACAAAAAGCAAATGACTGGAAGCTAATTAAAGGTATGGGGAAGAGCTGGATATAAAAGTTTCATTATGGACATAGGACAATGATACCACCTTCAAGGCGTCTCACCCATCATCAAGTGCTATGCTGGGAAACTACTTGCGTTCAGTGATGAGCACGGATTATATGTTTCCTCCAGGTAACAAGGTGTGAGCAGGATATTTGCTGAGGAATTTCAAGCATCAAAGGGGTTTACTTTACCAGTCAAAATTGATAGGGGCTGAAGGAAAACAAGGATTACTGCTACATTGTTTCTAAATATGTATTGACGAAGTCTACCAATTAGCTTGAATTTTGAAAGGAAAACTGAAAGGAAGATATTTCCATTTTAAAGTGTGGTTGTATTTTCACTGGCAATGAAAATGAAACTCATGGAGAACAAATATTTTAGTCTTTCCAGACCAAGAAATCAGTTTTAAAGGGTAAAGAAGAAAGTCTCACATTTCAGAAATTAACTTCTCTGTCCTTGCCACACGCTCCAGGCAGAGAACAGTCCAGAAACATTTAACCTGAAGTTGGCTGATGTTGCTGGGTCTTCTGCAGGCCTAGTCCCTCTCAACTGTTTACCTTTTCAACCTAAACTACATCTGCAATTTTTCCTCCATGGATTTTTCCATTGCTTTCTGGGCAATTATTCTGAGCGACAGCCTTTTTGTCTGGTATGTTCAGCTCCTAAAAACCAGAGCTAATTAACATAGTTAAAACTCCCCAAGCCTGTAGCCATCTTTCTAGGGCGATGGATTGCAAACTTGATGAGCTGCTTTCCAGGCTCATACATAATTTTAATGCTCCTGATAGCACATTAATTGTCCACCCATAAATTTCAAAATGAAGATACACAGACGCATCATCACAGTTTTGCTACAGCTAGAGGTCAATGCCAGATGCACACAGACCACATTGAGCTGCAGTAAATGACATCTTTACTGTACACAGCTTTCTCCTTCTCTAAAAACAAGTGTCATCGCACAGAGAATACAAATGGGTCTTGATGGAACAGCTTGGTTGAGCAATGTGGATCTCTTTCTTTTAAAGTCTCAATAAATCAAAATCAATACTGCAGAAAAGCATGTTTCTTGGGAATTTTGAGAGAGAAAAACAGATGGATAGACTTAAAATTATGTCCTAAGGATGTTTAAATCAAGATTTACTTAATGTCACATGGACATAAGAACGTTTAATCACCCACCTATCCAAGCTCCCAACTCTGGCGACTAGATACAGGAGACTGCCAACGGCGAGGCTTCCCAGCACCAAGAGCTTCTGTCTCAGCCACACCTGCTGTTTGAATAGCATGGCCCTCCATCAACCTTCAGGACGGCTGTAGCCTGAGGGATGGGAGAGAAGGACTCATTAGCAGTCATCTCTTACCCATTCTGTTCCTTGTCACAAAGCCAACCACAGGCTGGACAGCAGGTGATGGAGTGACGCTATCCAACTTTGACAATTTTTATGGTATAACTGGCAGTATTGAGCAAAACTTACCTTTCTTTTTCTGGCCCTTGTTATGAGATCATATACTAAATAGAAGGGGCAGATACCAACAAGATAAAACCTGCCAGCCAGACAACTGTCAAGGTAAAATGCATATAAATATTATATATAAAATATGCACTATTTTGGTAAATCATGAAAAGAATACCAGTAACATGAGCAACTTGAGGTTTACCAGCAGGCCAATCATGAAAATCAGGGCAGAAGTTGAAAAAGTTCAGTAAATTATTCCTTTGGGCGTAACAATGACATATTATTTTACTTAGATATTTTTTGTTTTAATTTGTTTCAGGTGTGAATGGAGGATGGGATTGAGATCACAGTAGTTACTTACTGAGGTTATCAGTGGCTAAGTATGAGGATCTCACATGTTTGAGGACATGGCTCTAAGGAATCTGGTGCTTCCTTTCATGCCCTCCTGCTGGGTCCTGGATTCTGAAACATGTTCAGACAAGATGTTCCTGCTATGTGACCTCTCCAGGCTTTCCACACATTTAAACAGGTTTGGCGATATTGGTCTTGCTCCTACATTAAGAAAGTAGCTTACCCAGAAGCCTTATTCTCTTACACCTGAAATCAGGCCAGCTGAGGAGTGTAGGGCTATACTAGTGCTGTTATTAAATTGGGGGGAAAAATGCAGGCTCCCAATTCAGCCTTTCTTATTAAAAATAAATCCGATCTTCCTTTCAAGATAAGATTGTTTGCTTCTTATTGAAATTCAAAATAGCAATCCAGGAAGAGGAAAGCTATAGCAATGAGTCCTGGTCAGAAACTGTTTGCTGGAATGTCATTTTCCTATTTGCTATGTGAAGATTTTCTCTGTGTGAAAGGGATACCGCAGGATGGATTGATTGATCTATTCATTCATTCATGAAGAAGAAACTAAGCACCAATAGCATTTTCAACTATTGTAGGAGGTTTATGCAAGATTCCAAAAAAGATTCTGCAAGAGATTTAGTTACTGGAAAACGGATAATATGACGATGGAATCATGACACAAGCAGCGAACACAACCCAATTCCTGATGACGTATGAATAAATGATAGAAAAATAAAATTAAGGAAAAAGTCAGAGAATGTGGGCATGGGAATGTTTTCCTTGTGGAATGTACTGCAGGGACCGGAGGGGAAGCTGGAAGAGGCTGTCCCAAGGGAAGATAAGAGCAGCGTTCATCCAACACACGGCTGACAAATATGTAGCGAGCATGTCTCATGGATAACAGCGTTCTACTAAACAAACCTGGTTCCTGCCTCCTGTGAGTCCTTAATCTAGTGGAGAAGACAGACAGTAAGCCAGTAAATCCACATGTAGGATTAGCATGGACTTATAATAAATGTGAGCCAGTAAATCCTAGATACAGGATTAATGTGTACTTGCAAGTTGGAATAAATGTGACAAAGGGGAAATTACAGGATCCCGTGAGAAAGAGTAATGGGAAGAACCTACTTCAGTCCTTCCTGAAGAAGTGACACTTGGGCCCATACAGGGAGGGGCAGGAGCCAGGAGGCAGGAGTGGGGAGAAGTGGATTTGGGGCAGAGTAAGCAGCAAAGGGGTTGAGGAGGGAGGATGCTTGGCCGGTCTGAGAGGTGAAGGAAGGCTAGTGTGTAGGACGCAGAGACTGAGGGGGCAGAGGAAAGGCTGAGAGTGAGAGCAAAGAGGGAGCAGAGAGAAGGGCATTTGCAGGGGACTGGGTGAGCCTGTGGTTCTGGCTTAGCAGGGCTAAGTCAAAACCAGTCTCTTCCTCTCAAAAGTCCAGGCCCTTCTGACATCCCAGCATGGGCACTGCCAGTTTGGCCTCTTCCCTACTCCTCACATGCCTTCACTGTCACCTCTGTGCCTTTGTCAGCTTCCAATGTCTCCTTCTTTAAGACTCCCAGACCTATTGATCTCTTCCTAGGGAGGATGATCTTGGTAGATATGGAATTTAGGGGCAATAAATGATCTGAAGACGCTTTCCACTGGTGGGTAGGAATGGGTCATGTCCATTGTGTAGATAATTACAGGGCCAGTGGGTAACAGCTGGGCTTGGTAATAAAAATTAGAAGACATTTGCACATAGAGAATGAGTGTGCAGTTGTAAAGTGACCTCATGGTGAAACTCTGTTCAAGGTTAGCTGGCAGGGGAGAGAAGAAAAAATGACAGACCTTGTGAAGGTTGCAGAGGAAGTGGTCTACAATTTAGGGGACAAGACTGTCAGTCCCCTACTGCAGAGTACATATCATCTGGTAGATATATTGGGCCGTTCAACCTGACTGAATATGACATCGCTACTTTTTGTACTGCCACCGAAGAGCTTGCAGTGTCGAGGTCCCACTGAGAGATTGTCCCTGACAGAATAAGGTTACTAAGCCACCCAGGAAGGATCCCTTTCTTGGAAAGCATGTCCCTCCCAGGAAATAGTGAACGGACCAATCCAGACTTCCCTAACATTTTCCCATCTACCTGCCCAGATAAAGCTATGGACAGACCATTCCTGGCTGCCCTAACCGTTTAAATCCCTGTCCGCCATAGCCCCGGTGTGGATTTCTCCCTCATCAGGAATCTCACCCCACCTGCACCTCAGGTAGAATAAAAGCCAATTTGATTGCATGAATTGTATCTCTGCCTTCCTTTCGTTCTCGTGCCTTGGAATGATTTTTATCTTTGGGTCCAGAACCTTTCAGTCCCTTTAGGATAAAACCAGTTTTTACCATAGAGGTTTTGCTCTGTGGAATAAACTCCTTTTTTTAGCCCCATTTTTCTGTACCTGCGATGTCTTCAATATGCCCACTGGGGCCTTCTCTCTTTCCCTCTTTTTTTCTGGAGGCTGAATTTTGTCAGCCTTTTGTTTGCAGGATGGGCTTTGCTCCTGTCTCTGTCTCCTCTCGTTTTGGCAGGCCCATCATACCTTCCAAAGTATCTTCCCTTCTCCTGTGATACTGATAAGAACTAAAATTTTCATTTGAGATCTCAGCTAACAAGAGTGAGTCATCCCTGCTCAAGGGCAAAGACTACTGGATTGGGAGTCCAAAGCCACACATTTTGGTTTGACTTTGTAGTGGAAAGGTTTTTGTTTTCCTCATCTGTAAAATTATGATAGATAATGTCTAACTCACGAGGTTGTTACACATAAACATTGAGTGAGACGTTGCAGAATAGAACTTTGTGGACATCTGGGCATTTTATATTATAAAAATGAAGCATTATTTAGGACTTCAAGAGGCAGAGAAATTAATTCTTGCAATGCATCTTAAAGAGGAAAAAATGAAATAAATGCATTTCTCATGAACAGTGTAATTAGGTTCTGAAAAATCTAAGTCCATTTTTAAGCATAAATAACTTTTAATGGAAAATCTTGTTAAACATTAGAATACTAATGTTATGTTTTTTTGTTCAAAGCAAGATGGTGTGTGTATGTACATACACACAAAGTTAATGCTTCTCTAATTGAACCAAATCTCGAAGAATTTTTGAGAAACGAGGAGGCCAAGGCAACAGTTTCTAATGGGGCTCTCTAGGAGACAAGCAAAATCTTACTCTGTTTTGTAACCAATCTCTGACTATGTACTAAGAGAAGGTACCGGAGCGGCCCCTGAATCAACGTTCCTCGGGGAAAAACAAAGATACTTGGTTAATTTAACATGCAATTTGCCTCTTTGGTTTTCTGTAACATCATGAAGTATTCAAATCTGCCAGGATGATGTGTCAAGACCTGGGAGGTTGTTGTTCTTGGTCTAGGAATAGAAGACAAAGGTAAGTCACACCATTCAATCCTTCCTGACAAGTTCTGTTATGCTGAACTTCACCAGCTCCAAAGTGCCTGCTTTTTATCTATGCCAGATTTAATGGCTATTTTAATAATCTTTCATCAGAGCAATCATACTGGTAATAGGCAATTTATGTAAAATTAAAGTTTTTAAAAAGTTCATTTCTTTTTATATAAAAAAAGACCCACAGTGACAGTTAAGCCCTCATCATCCTCAGTTTCTAATCTCTGCATCTTTCACTCCACGTGCCAGACAGCACAGTGACAATTTCTTCTGACCACTAACGCTTCAACATGCACAGTATCTCAGCTGAACAAAACAGAGTATCTAAATAACACAGGATGTGGCCAGAAACCAAAGGGACATATGGGTGTTTCTCTAAGCTAGGAAAGAAATGATTCCCCAGGTGGAACAAAGAAATAGGGGGATTCACAAATAATGATAATAAAGACATGTTCAAGCATTGCTCAAAGGCTTGTACACATGCTCTACCACAAGCCCCTGGTAGCAGTAAAAATAATAACAGGAGCAATAGCAGCAAAGTTCATTAAAAATGACTGAATGTATATAGCAGAATTATTCCAGGGAAGTCATAGCCCTCTTCTGAGTATTAGCTCATTTATCCTGGCGACTGCCTCATGAGGTGGACAGAAAGCACATTTATTGAGCACGAGGCTCTCTGCTATTTTCTTTTACCTTTATGATCTCATAGAATACAACAGACCGGTGTGACATTATCTGTTTTATCTTTGCTGGTGACGACTGAGCAGAGACATGAGCAGACTTTTTTTTACTCAGGACTATGGCTAGTTCATATAGAAGGATGATTTAAATGCAGAATCATCTGAGCCCAAAGAGCATGGCGCCATGATTGCAGTGCCACTCAGAGAGCTCTGGATGCTCCCCCAAGAGAGTCTTAATACATATCTGTTCACTGATGGACAAGCATGGACGAGACCCACTAAAGTCCACCCAAATTACCTGCCACTGAATCTTGAGGTAGAGGATGGGGAGGGGAAGAGAGAGTAAAAGAGAAAAAAGTTCCCATGAAAGGGCAGGTAAAGGGGACCATTTGGGTGGTTTGAA